CTGAGATCTCAACAGCTTTAGAGATGAACTCTCTCTGTGAATGGCTGGAGGAGAAAGCCCCATACCCTGCAGGGAACTGAATAATCAGCTTTAGAACTTGGTGCTCCTGGACTCAATGACACTTTTTGGTTTTAGCCAGTCTTCCCACTCTGCAGGCCTCTCAAAGGGTCCTGGCAGCTAGTCAGCCCTCAATGAATATTTATTCATATATGTTCAATTGATTTGATTTGGACTGAAGGTTGAGTTTTGAATTTGGATCATGGCTCATTCGTCAGTTTACTGTGTCTCTGCTAACATTTTCAAAATTAGGTTTAGACTTCTGATATGGCTCAGGCTCAAGAGGTTCCATCTTCCTGATCATGCTTACCATTTCCTGTACTGCCACAAAGAGCATTGCCAGGCCCTGTTCTCATGGCTGAATGGATGAGGACCGAGGACTGTGGTGCAGGCTTCTGCTCTTTTATTGCAAATTTACTGTGGTGACCTCAGAACACAGGATCAGCTCTGCTGTCTTTCTGCTTAGACTTGAATGTCAACCCAGTGTGCATACCTGGGAAAACAAAGGTGGACATGCTCCTNGTGTGCAGTATGTGATCTCAAATCAGGATAATTAATATATTCAACATTATGCAATATAATTGTTCTGTGTCCCTTTACCAATTGCTCTCTTAACCCCCCTCCCACTCCACCTTTCCCACGTCTGATAACCTCAGTTAAAGAGAAAGCCTGGCCTAATCTAAGTGAAGTTTTAAACTCTAGTCTTTCCTTCAGTTTTACTCAGACAAATGTATTAAATTCATTTGTTTTTCTTTAAAGAAGTACTTGATGTCCAACATTGCTGCTTTCCACTTGGAGGCTTCTAAATAAAGTCGTATTAAGTGACTTCAAGGCTTAAAATCATCCTGGACTTCAGGCTCAGGAAAGCCTTTAGTCTCTTGCTAAACAATAGAAATTCACAAGTAACTTGGAAGGTACAGCGAGTAGATTTATAGTGAAAGGCACAAGCCACAAGTACAATATTCAGCCATGAGAGAAGGGTACATTTTTCTCTTAATATTTACTCCTTCCTCAAGACTTCTCATCTGAAGTGGTTGTGGTTTTCACTAGGGAAGGAAAGAGGGCAACCACAAAGAAGCTGGAACCTCCTTCCCTTTATCATACCCACCACGTTCCCTGCAGAGTACTTCATGTGGAGAAAGCTGGATTATGACCTGGGAGCACATCTTGGAAAGCACCATGGGGCCACTGCCCTCCCAAAGTTCACTGACCTGAGATCTCAACAGCTTTAGAGATGAACTCTCTCTGTGAATGGCTGGAGGAGAAAGCCCC